TAAAAATCAATAAATTAAAATTTTTATAAATACCCAATAGAAATAGATTAATTAATTCATTTTTTTAGATATTACAAAGAAATAGTGACGCCTTTAGAAATTTAGGCAATTATAAAAAAATACCAAATAGGAGGAAGTACAGAAGTATTGGTTTATGAAACTTTTATTAGAATGATTGATTATAATTAATCTAAGGTGAAAAAGAAAAATCTTATATTTGAAAATGCGAACTCTTTATCAGAAAGATGTATTTATTCTTTAGCGAGTATTTTATTGTTGGAATTGGATTTATTAAGATATGTAGAATAATTAAAAGTATTCATATATGATTTATTTATATATATATATATATATTATTGTTTTTGTTGTTAGGTTTAACTTTTGAATGATTATTAGTTTTCTGTTTAAGCTTTTTTCGAAAAAATTGATCAAAAAAATAAAAAAGAACTTGATTTGGAATGTTTAAGCTCTTTTTTTAGAAAAATTGGGCAGGATTTAGTAGAAAATGACTTTGTTATATTGTTAGAAAGAACAAAAAAAACAAATAATTAAAAAAAAGTGCTTTTATTTTAAGATTTTATATAATTAATGACTCCTTAATTACCTTATAAATAGAAAAATATATAAAAACAAAAAAGTTTATTTAATATTTCTTAATAATAAATATATTTTTAGAGATATAGTCCTTCTAAAAGTATAAAAAAAGTGACTTTTGATGAAAAAAGAGTAGATTCTTTAGAAAAAAATAATAATATTTTATAATTAGAGAACGAGAAGTTAAAAAAATAAAATGAAGAATTATTAAAAATATTAAATTAAAAAGGAATTAATTAAGAACAATAAATTATTTAAAAAATATAGTAAAATATACTTCCTAATGTACATTTAAGCCCTATTAGATAATATTAAGATTTTTAATAAAATTAACTTTTGATTATTGTCTCACTAATTATTAAGATGTGCATTTATAAGATTAATGATTAACTCCTTAATTACCTTATAAATAGAAAAATATATAAAAACAAAAAAGTTTATTTAATATTTCTTAATAATAAATATATTTTTAGAGATATAGTCCTTCTAAAAGTATAAAAAAAGTGACTTTTGATGAAAAAAGAGTAGATTCTTTAGAAAAAAATAATAATATTTTATAATTAGAGAACGAGAAGTTAAAAAAATAAAATGAAGAATTATTAAAAATATTAAATTAAAAAGGAATTAATTAAGAACAATAAATTATTTAAAAAATATAGTAAAATATACTTCCTAATGTACATTTAAGCCCTATTAGATAATATTAAGATTTTTAATAAAATTAACTTTTGGTTATTTCTCCTCCTTCTTTTGCTGTGCAAGGATAACCGTATGTTTAACCAGTTTATAAAAGCGAATAAAATTTTTCGGGAAAATATATTCCAAATTAAAAAGAAATTAGAGATATTTTATAGTAAAAAATTAATATCAATAATTAATCTGGAATGTAAGAAAATTAAGTTTAGTAGTAGTTTATGTAATAATAATCGAAAAATCTTAAATAATAATTGATTTTTAGTAGTAATATGAGATAATAGGGAATTCGTTAAAACTATTCATAATAAGATTTTACAAATAATATATATTAGTCTATTTATAAATGAAGTTTACTTATTTTTTGTTTTTTTTTTTGTTTTTTTTTTTTGGAATTATAAATATTATTTACAATAATAATAATAATAATGTTAGTATAATTTAATTTTAAGTAATATATAAAAGATATAATATAATTCTAAGTAGATAAAAACATATTAAATATATAAAATATTTTAATTTTTATCTTAGTAAACAAAAATGATTATAAAAAATATTTATATATGAAATATTTTACATTATCATTAGATATTATTATATATTTTATATATATAGATTTATAATTTTATTTATTTATTTAAAATAAAATTTATATTGTTATATAATAGAGTTATATATAAATTAAATCATTGTTTAAATTTTTAATAAGTAAAATATATAAAATGAAAAATAAAATAATTTTTAAATAATTAAAAAATAATTATATATATATATATATAATTTTTATTATGTTAAAAAGAGAAATATAATTAAAAAAATTAAAGAAATAAATATATTTTAAAATTAAAATATATTTTCTTTATTTTCATTATTTTAAAACTTTTTTATTAATAATTTTATTTTCTTAGTAAATTTCATCATCTGATAATTCTAAATTTATACTGTTTTTTCGTTTAATATTAAATTTTTGTACTTCATAAAGTTATATTGTTATTTATTTTTTTAAAGGAGGAGCTTTATCTTATATTTTTTTTACAGCTTTTTTCTAAAATTCATCATTTAAATAATTTTAGACTTCTTTGATTTCTTTAAAATCTAATTTAAAATTTTTATAGAGATTTTTTATTAAGTATTCCAATATTTTCTTATCTTCTGCTTTTAAACAAAATAATAAACATCCAATTCCCATAGAGACTATACTCCATTTCTAGCCTATTTTTTTTTTGTTAATATACATATATATATAGGGAATATATTAATAAAAATAAAAAAATACATATATAAATTTCAGTTAAAGCACTTTCTAATTGTTTAGTGAAAAATTTATTATTAGAATATTATACGAAATGATTATAAATAAAAAAATCGGATATATCTGAAGAAGTTATCAAATTAAAGTTAAATTTTAAACTGTTACATATATCTAGTTCTATTTATATAATATCTAGAAGGTTTTAACATTAGTTTTTAAAATAATTTGACTTTATAAGTTATTCTAAGCTTATCATATTATAAGAATCACCCATCTTTATATTTTATTTTTATTTTTTTCAATAATTTATTTTACCTTAATGGATAAATATAATCCGGTAATTATTAAAAGTGTAAGATTTTGGTCAGTAAAATATTAAGGATTTTAATTTTAGGATAATAATATAGAGTCAATATACATATAAGATAAAAGTTTTATTAAAATGTTATATGTAATTATCGAATATGTTATTATTCTATTTCTAAATTTTTCATTTATTTAATTTATTAAATGTTCAATAAAAGGAAAATACTATTTATATATAAAAAATAAAAAAGTAAATAAATAAGTTAATTAAATATTATTAAAATAAAATATATATTAAAAAAAATTAATGATTAAAAGAAATAAACATAAATTAAAATATACAAATAAAAAATAATATTTTTAAAAATATATTTATAATTATATATTAATATATATATATATATATATATATATATATATATATATATATATATATTATATATTAAAGTACATAAAGAAATAATTTTAATATGGCTTAATCTCTAGTTTATTTTTGTTATTTTGTAATGTTATTATATTGTTAGTTATACTAAATTTAAGTCTTTTTATAAAAATAAATTATTATATATATTATTATTAATATTTATTTTAAATAAATTACATTTAATCTATCTATTAAATATTAGAAATTTTACATTGAAATTATATCTTTTTGTGTAAATTATTTTTATATCATTATAGGTTTACTATTTTGAGTGTTTTTTATAGTATTATTATCTTGTGTTTTATTTAAAATAAATTAATAATTAAATTCAAATGATTTTAATTATTAATTATCAATAATAGTATTCATTTATATTTTTATATATATTTTTTAAAATTATTAATTTAAATAATTAAATTGATAAATATTACTTATATAATATTTTAATATTTTTATATATATATATATATATTAATATTTTTTTAAATAAAATAAAATAAATGTGTTTTTTAATTATATTTATTGTTTTTTATTAATTTTAAATTAATTAAATTGAAAAACAAATTTATTTAACTTATTTTTTATATTCAAAATATAATTTATTTATATAAAAATATTTTTAACTCTTTATTTGTTCTTTTAAGAAAACATTTTGTTAAAACCATATATTAATCTCAGTTAATTATATTTTTTTTGGTGTTTAATTTAAAAAATAATCGCTTTATTATTATACATTTAAATACTATATAATAAATAATAATTTTTTAAAAATAAGAATTGGTAATTAAATAAAATAATATCTTTTGTTTTATATATATAATATGAAAATGTGTTTCATATAAAACTATTATTATAAAAATTTATGAATGAAATTTAATAGTGATTTAATAACATTTTATTAAAGAAAATAAAAATAATAACAAGTATTATTTTGATTAGTAAAATATACAAAATAATATTTTCAATTTAAATATTATTAATTTTATAATTCATTAATATATTTGATATTATAAAGTAATATTAATTTATATATGACTATTTCTTTTTCGTATTATTAATATAAAAAATAATAATTATTATTTCTTTTTTCTTTTTGTTTTTAAATTAAATATTAATTTTTGTTATGTTTAGTATTTAAATTAATTAAAAGAATAAAATTAAAGGAAAAAAAAAATTGATAAAATCATATGATGTATGTTAAATTAAATATATTAAGAAATTTAAATTAATAAATAAAAAATTATAATAAAATAAAATATTAAATAAAAAAATTCATATTTTTTAATGTTTTTAAGTAAAATATATAACTAAAAAGTTAAATATTTATTTATATTTTTTGTTATTTTAAATATAAATTGATATTAAATTTAATAATAAACAAAAAAACATTTCAATTTTATTTATTTCAAATAATTTAAAAATGTATATATCAAAAAAATAAATCTATTAATATATTTAAATCTAAAAGAAACAAAAATATATTATTATATTTAATATTATTTATTATGAAAGAATATTTATATAAATGTTCAAAATAATTTTATTTAACATTTTTAAAAAAATAAAAAAAATATAAAAAAAAAATACTGAAAATATTTATATATAAAATTTTTGTATAATTAAATTAAAATAAATGATATTAAAATTAAAAAATATGTTATATTTAATAATTTAATAATTTATTTTTAAATATATATATATATATATATATATATATATATATTATATTAA